TCAATCAAATAAAATAATTCCCCGGGAGAGCAATTTTCCAGCGCTCAGTCATCCGGACGTTGCCGGTAGTGGAGGGGGGAGATGACTGGTCCAGCGTCGGGACCGGGACGGACCCTCGGGATCTCTAAATTACAGTTAGTGCCTCTCGCGTACATCAACACGCAGCGCCATCCCTTGATTGCGGTCCAGATACGGGGTGCTTCGCAACTCGGCCATGGGCGGCCTTCTGCTTTTTGTCTAGTGGGATGATCTACTTTGGAAATGCTACCGCCACCTCCACCCTGGTTGAACCCAAATTATACCAGAACAACTTATTGTACATTCGTATAGATTTGCCAGTTTTTAGACTACGAACATTTTCAAAATTAATTATATTTATTAAATATCAGAATAGAGAAGGAAAGACCCTTGGGATCTCTAAATTACAGTTAGTGCCTTTCGCGTACATCAACACGCAGCGCCATCCTTTGATTGCCGTCCAGATACAGGGTGCTTCGCAACTCGGTCATGGGCGACCTTTCGTGTTTTGTCTTGTGGGATGATCTACTTTGAGAATGCTACCGCCACCTCAACCCTGGTTGAACCGAAATTATACCAGAACAACTTATTTTACATTCGTATAGATTTGCGAGTGTTTTAACCACTAAAATTTTCATAATCATAATAAGAACAACTTATTTTACATAGTTTTGCGAGTTCTTAGACCACGAACATTCTCAAAATTAATTATATTTATTGAATATCAGAACAAAGAAGGAAAGAGATATCTAACTTACAGTTAGTGCCTCTGCCATCTCTTGATTGCGGTCCAGATACGGGGTGCTTCGCAACTGGGCCATGGGCGGCCTTTCACTTTTTGTCTAGTGGGATGATTTACTTTGAGAATGCTACCGCCACCTCAACCCAGGATGAACCCAAATTATACCAGAACAATTTATTTTACATTCGTTTAGATTTGCGAGTCTTTATACCACGATTATCAAAATTAATCAGGTTTGATAAATATCAGAGAAAATAAGGAAAGGGATCTCTAAATTACAGTTAGTGCCTCTCGCGTACATCAACACGCAGCGCCATCCCTTGATTGGCGTCCAGATACAGGGTGCTTCACAACTCGGTCATGGGCAGCCTTTTGCTTTTTGTCTAGTGGGATGATCTTCTTTGAGAATGCTACCGCCACCCCAACCCTGGTTGAAACGAAATTATACCAGAACAACTTATTTTACATTCGTTTAGATTTGCGAGTGAAAGAAGGAAAGAGATCTCTAAATTACAGTTAGTGTCTCTCACGTACATCAACATGTAGCGCTATACCTTGATTGCGGTCCAGATACGGGGTGCTTCGCAACTCGGCCATGGGCGACCTTTTATTGCTTTTTGTCTAGTGGGATGATTTACTCTGAGAATGCTACCGCCACCTCAAACTGATTGAACCCAAATTTTACCAGAACAACTTATTTTACAGAGATTTGCGAGTTCTTAGACCACGAACATTCTTAAAATTAATTATATTTATTGAATATCAGAACAAAGAAGGAAAGAGATATCTAAATCACAGTTAGTGCCTCTGCCATTTCTTGATTGTGGTCCAGATATTACGGGCTGCTTCGCAACTCGGCCATGGGCGGCCTTCTACTTTTTGTCTAGTGGGATGATTTACTTTGAAAATGCTACCGCCACATCAACCCAGGTTGAACCGAAATTATACCAGAACAACTTATTTTACATTCGTATAGATTTGCGAGTGTTTTTACCACTAAAATTTTCATAATCATCTATATTCATTGAATATCAGAACAAAGAAGGAAAGAGATCTCTGAATTACAGTTAATGCCTCTCGCGTACATCAACACGCAGCGCCTTGATTGCGGTCCAGATACAGGGTGCTTCGCAACTCGTCATGGGCTGCCTTTCACTTTTTGTCCAGTGGGATGATTTACTTTGAAAATGCTACCGCCACATCAACCCAGGTTGAACCCAAATTATACCAGAACAACTTATTTCACATTCGTTAAGATTTGCGAGTCTTTATATCACGAACATTATCAAAATTAATCATGTTTGATAAATATCAGAGACAATAAGGAAAGGGATCTCTGAATTACAGTTAGTGCCTCTCGCGTACATCAACACGCAGCGCTATACCTTGATTGCGGTCCAGATACAGGGTGCTTCACAACTCGGTCATGGGCGGCATTTTGCTTTTTGTCTAGTGGGATGATCTACTTTGAGAATGCTACCGCCACCTCAACCCTGGTTGAACCAAAATTATACCAGAACATCTTATTTTACATTCGTATAGATTTGCGAGTGTTTTTACCACTAAAATTTTCATAATCATCTATATTCATTGAATATCAGAACAAAGGAGGAAAGAGATATCCGAATAACAGTTAGTGCCTCTCGCGTACATCAACACGCAGCGCCTTGATTGCGGTCCAGATACAGGGTGCTTCGCAACTCGTCATGGGCTGCCTTTCACTTTTTGTCCAGTGGGATGATTTACTTTGAAAATGCTACCGCCACATCAACACAGGTTGAACCCAAATTATACCAGAACAACTTATTTTACATTCGTTAAGATTTGCGAGTCTTTATATCACGAACATTATCAAAATTAATCATGTTTGATAAATATCAGAGACAATAAGGAAAGGGATCTCTAAATTACAGTTAGTGCCTCTCGCGTACATCAACACGCAGCGCCTTGATTGCGGTCCAGATACAGGGTGCTTCGCAACTCGTCATGGGCTGCCTTTTGCTTTTTGTCTAGTGGGATGATCTACTTTGAGAATGCTACCGCCACCTCAACCCTGGTTGAACCGAAATTATACCAGAACAACTTATTTTACATTCGTATAGATTTGCGAGTGTTTTTACCACTAAAATTTTCATAATCATTTATATTCATCAACACGCAGCGCTATCCCTTGATTGCGGTCCACTGGTCCAGATACGGGGTGCTTCGCAACTCGGCCATTGACGGCCTTTTGTTTTTTGTTTAGTGGGATGATGTACCTAATAACAAAGGAAAGGGAACCCTAAATTGCAGTAAGTGTCTCTCGCGTAGGCTACTGCTAATTGTTATAAAAACCTGGGATAATTTTTCAATTAATAAAATAATTAGGAATTTTAAGGATACGCTTTGTACTAAGTATTTTTAACTTTTTTAAATTGATGATATTTTTTAAACCAAATGTTAGTATTTCCTAATTAATGCAACAACTTGATGAAAGATCAAAGTTTCAAGTTCAGTTGGGTATTCAAAAATTACATAGTTTATCCGAATTTCGAGTATTTTGAATATATTTGATCTAGTCAACAATCAATTGCTACTTGATCTATTCTCTGAACCTCATAGAAATTTATACAAGGTGAGTCATAAGAGTATAAATGAAACTGAACATATTGCCTGATATACTGATTTAATCTCGGAATATCGACCTTATCATAGTATCATAACATAGAGGGTCTTAAAAAAAACGAATATTTCAAATTTGTTCACATGGTCGAGCATGTGTACCTATGGAATCTCGTTCAACGCTTCTCAATATCGGATTCCAAATGGTACACACTGTATATGTACAGCAAAGGGATGAAAATCAATAACACCATAAATCCAGACCCCGTGAATACGCCCCTGTCTCGTTATATCCCTCTTCTACTCACCCGTACGCCGAGCTTAGATTTGATAAAATTACATTTACAAATAGGGGTTAAGTCGTCGTTTACTCATTTCAAATATGGAATAAACATGTTAAGCATTTATTCATTGCCACCCTAGAGGGATAAGGATTCTAAGCCCATTCGCTTGGATTTGAATATGCTTAATTAGGTCTTCCATCCACCTAACGAACTCGATTTAACTGCAGTTTCATGCATTCGAATACAGTTATACTTTCTCTTGTTGTATGTACAGGGTGTTCATAACTCTACCAAACTCGTTGCCCAGGCAACCAGATGACGAATGATCACGTCACTGTGATGTCCCTAATTGGTGATTTTGCGTCAGATACGTCACATACCAATTTATGACGTCACTATGACGTACTTTCTATGACGTGATAATCACGTCATCATCTCAACGTCGAGTGTATGTCACTTAGAAGCGTAAAATAAGACGTGCAAAGCAGAGCGAATTTGAAAAGCTGTGTGTGGGGTATATTATTTTGTATTCAAACATTTTTCAACCTCTTCCAACATGACGGAAATGGCGTCAGGTGAGGTTACCATTGTTTCCTCACATCATTCTGAATGTTTGTTAAACAAGTGTCATCCAAATGGTTTGTTTCTATCTTCATTTGTTTGATATAGCTATGGGACTCCAAAGTTGGCTTTTCAAATAAATCTCAACTCACCCCGCCGTAATAAAAATCAAGTCGGCCAGGGGGTCAGTTGGGATCTATTTGAAAATACCAACTTCAGAGTCCCATAGCTTTTAAAACCATTTCAGTCCCGGTGGTTCCTCACTGGACCCACAATTCACAATGATTTTTTATGCGGCCTAACGAGCATGATATATAGAGGTACCACCATTTTTTTCTCATTTTTTGAGGAAAAAACTAATAGGAAATTTCAAAAAACTCCTTTTCTTCCTATTTGTATGTACATTCCCAAAAATATAGAATTTTCAGCTAGATGCTAAAAACCAACATGAAAATTAAATCCGTCCGTCAGAATATGTGAAAAAATTTTAACTTTGCGGAGAAAATATTTTTTCTGGCTTCATTTTCGGCATTTTGAAAAGGGTTGAAGAATGTTCAAATACGAAAAAATATACCTTACACACATCTATATTCAAATTCCCTCTGCCAAATTCAAATTTGCAGTTCTCCTTCTCCTGTTATAACCATTAATAGCGGGAAGTTTGAATCACCCTGTACCTATGGTAATATAAATATCATTACGTCTAGAAGTGTTAAAGACCAAATTTAAATACGTTGGAAATCTAGCTGTCTGGCTGGTTGCTATTGTCTATAAAAATCTAATTATTTTCTCACCTTTCTGCATTTGATTTTCATGTTTCCTACATTTAGCTCTCCGATTTTGGAACCAGACCTAGAACAAATATATCAATTATAAAAAACACTAGGAATATCATGATAAATGAAACATTTGAAAGCTTGATCTGTAGAAATCAAATACCTATACAAGTTTCGTATCATTTTGTCATAATCTAATTTATAATCAATACGTTACAAGATATATAATTATTTATGCTAGCTACTTAGTCAGATGGGTCGTAACACGTCAACTTTGTGTTTGTTTTCACCATCATCAATGTTTTTTCCCATGAATTGCTTTATATTTCAGTAAAAATATGCCTATATACGAAATACAACCATTACAAGTTCGTAAAATTGCTTAATAAAATTTCGATCCTTCTCATGATTGTTGAATTACTGAGGATTTGATCACATCAAAGACAATCATGTTTATTTTAATATGCATGATGGTCCAAACTTCAACAAGGTAAGCTATCAAAAGTACATTTTTCTCTAACGTCCACCCTATATCTTCTCCTTCGTTCTCAAAAAGGATCTAACACTCAAATAATCAATTTATTAAGTAGGTAGTTTGTTTCATCGCAGACCCCAAAAAGTGACCGATTCATCGAATCCCAAGCGCTGCAGACTCCAGAGAAATCAATCAGTCTTAATACACCCCCGAAAGTCGTTAATCTACCACTTAATTGATGAGATTTCCATTCCCTACACATCATACGTATTCATTAGGAAATTATCTGCTAATCGTGGCATTAGCAGAAGTAAATCGCTTGGAACTGGTGCCATAAGAAAAACACGAACTCTACAAGCTAGACCAGCTAATGGGATAAGCCATTTCGTACCCCTAAACTGACCATTTTACTTTATTTGTATTTATGTTACAGCCTTCTTGATTTATCGGAAAAAACTCGCATCAAGATTTTATGGGCGAAGTGGAATCGGCGATCGTGTTTTTGGATCTAAAATTGGTTTTATTTTAGGGTGGGTGATGCGAATAAACCAACGTCCACTCTGATCTGACACATTAACGCAGCCTTAGCTCCGAATGCGACAAATACATTTTCTCTTCTTTACTCTGGATGAGTGCTCATGAGGCCACGATTATGCCGAGTCTCTGGTTAGCTGACTAACTCATGGCCACATTATTAAAGAGTAGATACTCGGTATTTTTACCATACTGATCTGACAAGATCCAGACAAATGACTTTGTTATCTCATGTCTACACAATATGCGTCTTCAGTTGACTGATGTCAACAACTTGGTTTCGATTTGACAGTTTTTTTTTGAAGTTATGGTTGTTAAACTCCACTTGAATACATAAATGTTGAATGATACCTTACACTAAAATCCAAATTCAGATCAATTCAGATTGAAGTAAATGATATTATGAAATTCTAAATGGAGACCTCGTAGATAGACACAATTTCAACACTCAAACACATTTTTATTCACTCAGGGCGGCTTGTACAAAGATGACCGTTTATAAAAATACAACATCGATAAGTGATTCGTTCTGATGCTACGATGCTAGTGCCTAAACCTGCTTCAATCTTCGATCACACGATGATTACGAATACCCATGAGTCGTCGAGGCCACTTGTGATAAGGCATTCCTTAGGCGTTCTTCTCAATTACGGGGTCAAAGAATAGTAGGTTCTCCTCTTTGACGGGGTGATGTGAACATCGTCGCTAACCAAGTCGCTAACAATATAGGTATCGTTTTAAAGAATAATAAATTAACAGAAACTAACTTTTTCAGTTCAAGGTGTACCTGAGCAGCCCCAAGTGTTTACTCCGTATTCGTCATCATACTATTTCAGTCTTGTATCTACGCAACAAATTTCGGTACCAAATCAAGCTGGTAACTTTCCCAAATGTACATTTTGTACCACACTTACCAACAAGCGTCTAGCTAGACCAGCGAATTTTTGAAACGTCGAGGTCATGTGACGTCACTCACAACACATGATACTTCTTCCTTCTTTATATTGAGAAACTACGACTACAACGAATAAGGCGATAGCTCAGTAGTCCGTGCTGGGGTTCAACCCCTGCGAGGAGTCAATTTTTTTTTTAATTCTCTCTCTTTCACTCAAGTAATTTCTCAAAAATGTACTTTTCAAAGGTTCATTTAGGAGAAGTTAGGTTGAAAGGTCTTTCCTTCTTCATACAGGAGATATATTTTTCTTCCTCATATTACCTTATAGTCTTATGACCACGAATAACCTTCTGGTCTAGCTAGACGCTTGTCACTTGCCAGGAGAACCCATTTAGTTAAAATAAATGTTATTGACTATAGCTATAACAAAGATATATAGACGTGGCTGATGACATCATTTGAATTTTTTTCAGTTCGTTACAGTTTTAGTTATATTATAGGGAGATGAAAATTGTGTATATCATGAAGAATGGTTGAAAGAATAACTGGACTTCAGGGTACTGATGAGGATATGATATCCGAAATGAGTTTTACTCGAGTTAAGTCATATAACCTGTATGTGAGAGATATAATTCCCATGTCACTGATACGAATGCTTTTTTTTGGAAGTTCCAAGCCCATCAACATCAGAGTTTATACAAGAATACTTCTCCTATACATTTCAATTTTCATTACAATTCATATTGATAAGTTATATTTTTATATCATAATACATCATATTATTCTATTCGATTTGAGAGATATAATGTCAATTCTCAATTTCAGAGGATTATGATTCTTTATGCTCTCTTTCTGGATATTCAACAGTTATAATTCAATGTTCGACGTGGCAAATAGCCAGGAAAGTAGTTGTTCTCTGTTGAATATTCAGAATGATGTGTGCATATACATACTTTTATCTGAAGGAGAATGCAAATTCTCTACTTCAGAAAATTTTGTTTTCAAATTCTTATCGTTTGTGTTCAATAGATGTAATTCAATATTCGTTGGCATATAGCCATCAGGAAAGTAGTTGTTTTCTGAATGAATAAACTGAGAAGGAATTGATATTTTCATCACATGTATTTCTTTATATATATGTCCATTTTTTTGTATTCATAAATATATCTGAGAATATTCCTTTCCAAGACTTCATTTGAACTGAAAAGTCTTGGTGCAGTGTTATATAAACTGTATGTAAGTATGCTTGGTGAAGTAATAACCAGTTCAGTTGTATGAAAAGATATCGGAGATGGTTGTACACCAGCGAGTGAAATAAAGTGCTCAAAGAATTAAGTGGACCACTTACATTTTTGCCAATTTCGAATTTGCCATAATTTTTCGAAAAATGAATTGGTTTTCAATCGGAAAGCAGTGCTTGGAAGCTGCATTCTTCCTCTTTGAGATTCATTGTTCAAAACACATCGAAATTCTTCATATAACAATCCAAGTGTTTGAATAGAGTATTACAAAAATAAAATAGCTTGAGTGTCCCCGTATTCCACGGATCCTGTTTTCTGAACCCCTGAGACAATATCTCGAAATGGTTTCGGAATTTTCAATATTTCTCATACAGAATGAGATTCGATCTTCTCTGGATTTTATCGCATTCCGTGGGCAATATTCAAACTATTTTGCCTCGTTATAACATTGAAGACATCCTATGAGATGAATCCATATTGCTTCGAAATCATGAACACCTTCAACAGGAAAACATTTCCCTTTTTTTGAAAAAGTGTTTAGAGCTTGGTGAAATCTCCTGTTCAGTTCGATGCTGCCATGACCAAATGCTATTGAAAACAAGAATTCCTCATTTGGATCATTTGCCCTGGTCAATATCTCGGGATAATTTCGTGATTTCTCATCAGATATCTCAATTCTAGTGGACATAAGGGGGCACTTCCTGATTATTCTGACCTATACGAACTGTATTTTCAGACTTAAATGGGCTATATCAAGAAACTTTTTTCATCACATAATCGGAAATGCCCCAAAATATTTTTATTTATGTAGGATCAACACCTATTCATGCGAATGATACCATTGCAACACCCACTATAACATCTCCTTTGACAACTGTCATTATTATTCCACAATATCACTGTTATCAATGCTGTCATTAACCATGCATTCCCAATGACGAGTCTAAAGCTTTTGGTCAATGGTGGCTAACCGATTCAAATTGACAATAATAACATCACCATATATAATCAACAAAGCCGACTTTATAATCACAGGTTATAATACGCTTGAACCATATGCTAGACTTCCTTGATGGCTTAATTCGATTTCTAATTATGATTATGGATTTTGTTCTTATTTCACCAGCTACAGGGTCGCCTCTGTTTACTGACCCATGGAGCGGGACTAGCGCTAATGGAAAGCGATCGGTCTCGTGAGCTAAGCGTCCTGAGATTGAATCCTCGGAAGAGCGGAGTTCTTTTTTCAGTTCATTATGGGAGTTCATGATACTGAAAACTTTCGTTACCTCGACTGGAGATGGTTCTACATGATGCACTGTTGCGTCCCAATCAACAGTACAGAACCGTTACCCCCGATATTAAATCGGGGGTAACGACAGAACACATAGCACATAGGAAGAAATGATGATGTGATTGTGAGCATCAGAGAAGAAGTAGGACGGTGTATGCATGTGGGTTTTGGAAACTACCAGCTGAGCGTGAGACAGACTCTACTTAGAATGACTCTAACTGCCTTAACGAGGTAGCCGGTCACTGCAGCAGTTTCTAGAAAAGCTGATCTTACTATGTACCCAACATAAGCTTGTCAGGAGTAACCATACCTTTGAAGACACCCATTTCGATGCTTGGTATTACTATCAGCAATAACCCTTCTTGGGAAAATCACGTGATCAATTGCTAGAATTGCATCCCAAAAACTTTGTTTTCTGTTTCGGGCCAGAAGCCAGTTCACTCCCAGTCAGCTACTTATGATCTATAAGGCACAGATCCGACCTGTCCTGAAATACTGTTACCATATTTGGAGTGCAGCACCCAAACATACCCTGAAACTGTTGGATTCTGTCCAAAAGAGGGCAATTCGTTTCGTGGGTGATGCCTTGCTCACAAACTCACTCACTTCTCTGGAACACCGTAGAAAAGTTGGCGATCTGGCTCTAATCTATAGATATTTTCATGGACGATGCTCTTCTGAAATATCAACAGTTGTTCCTCCCTTGGCAGTCACCGCGAGATTAACCCGTCGAGTTGAGGCTTCGCACCTCTTCGTGGTCACTTTGGAGACCTGCAGAACATTTTCCAAAGACACGTTCATCCAACGAACAGCAAAGTTCTGGAACACATTGCCAAGGGAGGTGTTCCCCGAGGCATATAACCTCCAGAAATCTAAGAAGAACACCAATTCCTACCTTACTTCCCTTGGTTCTCACGATGTTCTCTGAACATTACAGGATATCCCTTTTCGTGGGAACCAGAACATAAAAAAACGGTAGAATTCATTAAACTATCAACCGAAAACTTCTGAGAGAAGGTAGCTTTTTCAAGCTCCGTCACTCATTACATATGGAGGCTTGTAAAAAGGTCCCATTAGAGGTTGTATAGTTGCTGACGTGCAAACGTTTCCCACTTCTACCAGTATACCAGTATTAGACCAGTAACCGATTCAAACTAGGAAGACCAACGATCCATTGAGAGAAATATCTATTAGCTTTTGATAATACGAAATTGTATAGTTACCTTTTCACTATGATCTTATTCAAATACCGAAAAAATTATGTAACCATGAAAAAACACTCACATGAGAATGAAGAATGTTCGATTGCCCATATAAGATGAACGGAATTCTTTGCCTATGGACGTATTTCTAGGAACTTATAACCTCCAGAAGATCAAACAAAAATTTCAATACCTACCTCCTCTTCTTTTCCTTATGTTCGTCGAACATTATAGGGATTCCCTTTCATGCGCTCCAAGAGATAAAAATAAATCAAAAAAAGATAAAAATGAAATATCATTTCGATATCTATTTCTATCAATTTGATAGTTCAATATTGGCATTTCAGTAATACGGTGATCCAATTTTTTTCTAATAAAATAAAGTAGGTTGAAGATCTTCGAGCAATATTGAAGACATATCTACTATTTTATATACCTACCCCCAAGTAGAATTCGTAGGGAAGCTACCGGCCATTGAAATGCACAAGAGGGCGATACACTTTCAGTTCTCAATATCTCGGTTTCCCTGGGACGAAAATGCTTCCAATTTGTATATGTATATCTTTTCATTTTCGCTACATTGGCGTCATTAAATAAGGGTTCACGAAACGAATTCCACTGGCAAACCGTTTCTTCTGAATAATTGTTGGTGGGAATTCTTGTGAATTTTGAAACAGGAAATAGAATTAATTATACGAAATAATACGAACATCATGGGAATTTCATTTCGTGCCTTCCAAGAGATGAAAAAAGACAATGAAAACACTATAACGCCCTGATCCAGTTCAACGCCCTACAGATAAGGGGGTAGGTATATAAACAAATATATCCTCAATCATTCTGGAAGATCTTTCAAGCACTTTACTGTTTCAGAGAGAGTACCCACACTAGCTCTGGGGCTACACGACAGCACCGTAACATAATTTTAACACATCAGGGAATTATATAGGTATGACTGACGATCAACTGAACTAGTGTTTATAAGTGAGTGAGATGAATCTTCAAGGCATACGAGTATGAAGAAAATGGTATATGATAAGTAGTGGTGGAATAGACGGATATATTTCCTGAATCGAATATCACCTGTTTGTAAGTTTGTATATAACCCTTTGACATATTTTAGGGGCTTCATGATAATTTTTGAATTCCATCTCTTGACTCAAATCTTCTACTATATATATATAATCTTGAATGTAACCTTTTAGAACAAGAAGAGTGTTCTGAAAGAGGGAATTGCTTCACATTCAAAACGTTTAATTCTCACGTTCTTATTCAGATAACATTTTGTAGTTGGGATATTTCAATGAGCAGCTATAATAATGATTTTTTTCTACTCACATAACTAAAATGGCATTTAGCGTACGGATATGTACCACGCTAAATGATCGATTAATCACGGATTGTCGATCCGTGATTTATTCAAAATATTAAACACGTTACCATGGCAACACGATTTCTTAAACACATTACCATGGCAACACAGTTCATTAAACACAGATTCAGTAATTTGAGACATATCTGGCCTGTCAATTGTATTAACTGTCAACTGTTATTTTCAAATTTTGTATCAGAATTATTCAAACAATTTTCGTTTGTATCAAAATCTTCATTAAAGATATATGCGAAATGTAGACGAAAGTGAAATCGAAGAGAATGTTCTGGTACTTGCATATCTCCAAGAAGTGTAAAAAAAATGAAGCATCCATCTTTGAGAACAATAATTCAATTATTCTGCGCTAAGTATGACAATAAACGTGAAACAAAGGTTAGTAAGCAATGGACTGGATACATCTACAACCAATATCACTTTTACGTGTCTCGCTGGTTGCATGTATTATGTTCTCAATTCCCAATCCTTTCGAATTATTTTGTAGGCTAGTAGGAAGGAATAGCAGGTATATTGATGTAATTTTCGGAGTTCGTAGAAAAAGCATAGTACGTAACGCGTTTATAAACTCTTCTAGACACTCGTTTATTAAACACTCGCTCCGCTCTGCTCCGCTCGTGCTTAAAATACTCGTTACTAAAAGGACGTTTATAACACTTGTTACATAATATACTATTAATAAATACTTATATAACTATAGTTTTTCCTTGGTGTACACGTAAATACAACACTAACCTATTGTTTATACACTACTAGATCGCTTATTCAGTAAGGCTACGTTCACTAGACAATATGAAGATCTCAACTAACCACTTGTTATTGGCGCGCCTCTGGAAAATCAAATATAACTTCATCAAAGACGATAGACGCAAGCAATTACTTTACCTGTACTCGTGCCTCGCTTAATCCCAGTCGCTGGCTTAACTCTTCCCTCATGAAGGCATCAGGATAATGAGTCTCATCGAAGAGCCTTTCTAATTCATTTAGTTGTTCCAGGGTGAAGTTGGTCCGGGATCTTCGCTGTTTAGTCGATGATTTCACGGATGTAGAATGGTTGATGGTGGATGGGTCGCCTCTGGAGATTGTCAGCTCTTCGAGGTTATCATCTTGGTCCGTTACGATAACTGAAACATTTTCAGTATGACAAGGGCGTCGATATGGGAGGGAAGGGGGTTATGGGGGTAGTTACCACCCCCCAAGAATAATAGCTTGTAAGATTAGTAACAGATATAATCGACATTTATATGGCTGTTCGATGTGTGATTTGTTTGTCCTGAGTAGTTTAGTTTTGTTTCTAATTCTAATATACAGGGTGTTCCAAAATTCAGTATCGAAATCTCAGGCACTTATTTTTCAGGTCAGAATGAAACTTTTTCTCCCATGAATATGTGTCCTCAAACGCTACGTACGTAAAATCAAGGTTCGTTAGGTTCTTTCATTCGCTAGGTAATGTTTGGAAACTTGTAATTATTTTGTTTCCATTGAGACAAAAGGTTATTAAAAATTTGAATTACTAAAATCTAGCAATTTTTTTTCTCGATAACGGTAGCAGATGAGTAGGTAAAAATCACAAGAGACAAAAAAGTTCGAAAACAAAACAAATAACTGATTTCGTATGTCAAAATCGACCAGTAGTGCACCCCAAAAAAGTTTATGGAGCGAAAAAGGACCAGAACCCTGCAAAAATATCTTCCTAGATTCCTACAATCACTCGGCATACTATTGATGTGGACCGTAAAACGTTACCTAAGTTTTGAATTCGATCTGAATATCTCGAAATCTGAGGGAGCCATGAAGAAAAGAAGAGAAAAATCTTAAAACTTCAACGCTCAGTAGATCAGTAGCGTTTGTTGACACATTTTCATAAAAAAAAGTCTTATCTGATCTGGAAAATAAGCCTTGATACGGAATTTTGGAACATCCTGTATACTATTTTTGGCTCTCTATACCATCTTTTTTTTCATTACCTGAACCAGAACGCCATTACCCCCCCCCCAAGAAAAAGTAGTAAAATATTGAAAATATTGAAAGCCGACGTTCATCTTCATGTCTCACCATAGGCGCCGGAACTTCAAAATTACTATGGGGGCTCGATCTCCAAAAATAAACATATAAGAATAATATGTATGTATAAATTTTCCATAATGAACTAGGTATAATGAAGCCAGTGTATTATAACATCATATATTCCTCTGATTTTCACATAACAACATGAAAAAAAAAACGTAAATACTAATCCAAAACGACCCAGTGGTGGGCAGTACTCGAGTAAATTGTACTCAAAATTGTACTCGAGTACTCGAAGTACTCAGTAATCGGTACTCGTGAGTACTTTTATTTTGACGTACTCAGTTCCCGAAAAAAATTAAGTACTTTTCACTTTCAGAGTTCTGAGTACTATGGTTCCTACATCTGGCGAGTAACGAGTACGAGTACCAACGTGCGCAACTGCGCACAGACAAGTCTCAGCTTGTCTTGAATGTCGTGCCTCATTTTACATTATATTTCGAGATGTTACTGTCAGCATAATACGTTTACGCGCGCCTTATGGAGTATTATTTTTGGTAAGTTGATGAGTATCTTCTACTTGGAGTCTCTAATCATTTTTTTCATTACTCATACTCATTACTCGTTACTCATTTTTTACGAGTACTCTCTGAAAGTTGTAAAAGTAGGTACTCATTTGCTTCAAGTACTTCTCATATAAGTACTCATACTCAAACATTTATGAGTACTATTCGAAGTTACTCATTGTAAAGTACTCATGAGTACTTTAGTGCAGCTCTGAAACGACCTTAGTAAGACGGGTTTGGAATAATAAAAATAATATGCAAACTATTTGGTAAAATATAGTAAAAACAAAAAAACATCACGTGCATCTCAGCTGCGTACGCTAGCCAGAAGCGAAACTTCTAGTCAACATTTGAGTGACAAACTCCGGCTGTTTTGTCACTGACACTGTTTGCCAGCCTGATAATAAAAATCTTTCTAACCCGAGACCAGCGAAACCCAGAGATGATCTTTGGTTCTGAAAGAAACATTTTGACTATGAGACCATGGTAACAGTTTCGCAAACCGGAACTTCACTATCAAACAACAAGGTATCAAATATGAAGTGCCAACGATTGAACGATTTTAATTTTTTAAGCGAAAACCATGCATCGGACAGAATGAAATCAGAAGATCCAATTTTTTTCATCGCCTGGTGCCTACGAAAGGGAATCCATATAATATTGGAAGAACATCGTGTGTACCTAGGGAGGATAGAGAGTGGAGGTAGGCATGAATTCCAGAGCTTTTCCGTTCTATAGAGAAACGAGTTTTGATATTGTGCTGTTCGACATATTTAGAGGTTGACAACGAAAGGATGTGCTGACTGCGCTTGTCGAGTTTGTCTGGCTGGTATTGCTAGTAGTGGAATGATAACAGAGATCACTGAAGAACATTTCCCGTGGAAGTACCTATAAAAAATGAAAAAGTGAAAGGTCGTCGACCTTTCTACGATGTTCCAATGAGTGTGGCATCACCCACCAGGCGAATGGCTCTGAATATTTCTATCCAAAACTTTCATACCCAATGGATGGAAATTTCCTTTCTATATAATCACAGATTCGTGATTGGGTTTTCACAATTCAGATTTTTTTTTACGCCCTGTATGATTAACATCAATTCATCGTACAGCTGACATATACAAAAGGCCTTCTCAGAGATTTAAGTTTTGAAAGCGTATATATCAGTCTGGATCGAAATGAGGCAATTCATTAGACAATCCAAAAGATAAAGTGGACATACTTGATAAGTCAGGAATTCACGAAATTAGTTGTAATGATTGTGATAAAACTGTACATACTAGGAAACTCATAAATGTAAGGTTGAAAGAACACCGAGCACACCCATCAATAATCATAAATTAGTAATACAAGTTGATAATTTCAGAAAAGTAGATGCATATGAATATGAAAGCCAAGAAATATTTGGGAATAAGAATAATGCACCTATTTTGTATAGCCCTCTGTGTATAGTTCAGTAATTTAGCATTAGGATTAACATGATAATCGAACCATGACAGACATTAGAAAAAAATAGAATAGAATTTATTGATCTCATAATATCAAAATATAATTACCATATAAGACAAGTCAAAACTAACAAATTAAAATTAAAATGTCTAGCCGAAACTATATGAAACAGTTAGGTCAAAATATTAAAATTGACAAATAGTTCAGGTCAACAGATACAATATACCAGAAGTTAGTGTAACTGGTAGATTTTCCAAGGTAGCTCATCCTTACAACTTTTTTATTGATGAAGATGAAAAAGGAAATTTGGGGGTTGTGTATTATTTAGTTCAATTTCGGTTTGGTTAGTGGTAAAACATTGTAGTGTGATCTATAATAGTAACAAAGTAGTCATATTTTTTTTTTTTTTTCGGAAACTTCACCACCCTGTTTCCTGAAAGTCAGGAAGTCAACGACACACGTTCAACTGAAGTTTTTCTTTTGAAATGGGTCCAAGAATCGCCTTCTTAAATATGGGTATGTCATTAAAGAACACTCTGTATACATTCCAGGGCAGTTAGTTCAGCAATGTACCCTCCGTTTTTCAGTTAAGAGGCCATATGCCACTCGAAATTATTCGAATGTTATCAGTTTTCTGTCTTAGCCCTTCCACTCCGAAAGGGGCGGGATCTACCTGATGAATTCCTAGAAAGCTGGAACCGTATGTTTATCGAGCGGCACGGCGAGGACACTGAACATGAAGTAGCGCGACACCGTCTTGATTACTTTTTGCCGCTCACTGACAACCGCTTGATTATCCATCGAAGGCAGTCAAATGGTCTCATAATTACTAATATTTTGAACTTTTGTCAGTGCTTATTTGTTTTTTGGCGCTGGTGATTAGATATTTTGTAAATTTTTGATAATTAACCAATAGGTATATCATGATTATATTATCTACAGGATACTTTCGAAATTACAGCGATACATACCAAATATGGAATGTTGTATTTTTTATCGCTAGGAGCGCACAGAAGGGAATCCGCTTTTAAGGAGGACAGGTAGAGGAGATGGGTATTGGATTTTCTAATTTCCATGCCTGTGATAAGTCTGCTGTCAACAAGTTCCGGGATCATCCTATAAAAATAAATTTCTTATTCCATTTTAGATGACCAGAAATCATCATGGAATAACTTCCACTTTCATGCCATTTCGAGTACAAGCTGCAAAATAACAAATTTATTTAACATGGTGTTGTCCCTGGATTCGATGAAACCAATTGTGGTTTTTGTTAACTTGGCCATCTTCATTCCAGAATGTAATTTTTCTTTTCGCTATTCCTTTATCCGGAGTCAGATATTTGGCACTATTATATAGAGACATTGAACTTGAATAATTATTTCGCCATCTTCATAGTTATACTCCATCAGTACTATGCAGCAATAGGTATACTGGAGATTTCCATCGATTCAATGTATTTATTTTTCATTTTTTTGGCAATATGTTTTTCCAATTCTGCAATATTGAGATGTTCATTTTCCCCAAACCAACGATGCTGCAGTGATTATTTTCGGATATATAATTCTCTAACTAACCGTCTGAGAGGTGACGATTTTTTTTCTTGCATACCCATCCAAAGACTGACGGTGATTCGTTTTTCCTATCTTCTTTTCACAGCTTTGACTCAGTTTGATCTCAACTCTTCTATACATTATTTTCTAGATTCTTTGAATTCATAGGAAAGCAAAAAACGCATTCCTATAGTTATATACCACCAAAAGGATTCCATCTCGGATTCCATCTATTCCATATAATTATAATTATCTAGGACATTCATCTGTGAATGAGTGAATCACTATTTCATTCATTTTTTCCAAAATAATATGGAAAATGTCTTAATAAATCTTGGAGTACTTTTTCGCTTATCTCACCTATTCTAATTCAAATTCTGATGCAAATATTCATTCTCCTTGAACCAACGAAGCTGCATTGATTAGGTATTTTTGGATATATAATTCTCTTTGGTATATAATTCTCTAACTAACCGTCTGAGAGGTGGAGATTTTTTCTCTTGCATATACCCCTCCAAAGAC